ACAGAGACACACACACACACACACACACACACACAGACAGACAGACAGACAGAGAGACAGAGAGACACAGACACATGTCAGACAGCGATCGATCGATGTGGATATTATATGGATCAGTGGCACTAACTGTGAGCTTCAGTGATGACTGACACAAGCTGACCTCAAACGGGTTGAGATTGAAGTATGAGGCTCCTGGTCGCAGTAACCTGTCGATCTGCTGTTTGGAGGTTAAAACCGAGTCTCTCTTCTCGATCTGCTTCACCTGAGGAACGAGACACAACCGGATCAGATGTGTGCTCAGATCATCACATCCCATATACATATATATAAAACACTGCTGTTCAAAAGTTTGGGATCAGAAAGATCTGTAATGGTTTTTTGAAGATGTCACTTCTGCTCATCTGCATTTATTTGATCAGAAAAAACAATAATATTGTGAAATATTACTACCATTTAAAATAACAGTGTTCTCTTTTAATATACTTTAAACTGTAATGTATTTCTGTGATGCGCAGCTGTATTTTCAGCATCATTACTCCAGTCTTCAGTGTCACATGATCTTCAGAAATCAGTATAATATGCTGATTTGCTGCTCAAGAAACATTTCTGATTATTATCAATGTTGAAAACAGTACTTCTGCACCGAGACATTATTGTGCTGAGAATCACACACATTTCTGTCATCACTAAACACATCATTAGTGTGATGATGAGGGTGATCAGTGATGAAAACCACAGAAGCAGAAACACTCGCTCACTCACTCAGCAGGTGGTGACTGATAGTGCTGTCTATGTAGGGCTCAGAGGGATTGACACACAGCCCGCGTGAGCCTCTCCTCTGTCTGGCTTTACTCGCTTTGTTTATATATGTGTGAGTGTTTGAGTGTGTTGTTTTGCAGTCTAACCTCCGTGTAGAAGGTCTGAAACGCTTCATCGCCGCTACCGCCCGCCGCCATCTTGCTACTGAACCGTCGGCGGAAGTTACGTCACAGGACAAAATAATAGTCCTCGGCCTGTACAGGAACACTCTTACTCAGTATTTTTGTCTTGTTTTCCAGTACAAATACCTAAATATCCTTAAATCAAGATGCATTTACTTGAGAAGCAAAATATAGTAAATATCTGCCAGTGGGGTCAGAAAAATAAAATTAATTCAATAGGAAAACAAGATAAAAAAATACTGAGGAAGAAAGTCATTTTTTCAGTGATTATTTAAAGATTTCTGCTGCATAATCCAGTTTATTCTTGACTCTGAACATAAAAGAAAAAGGAAAAGAATCAGAATGAGCTTCAACTGGTTACCAGTCAAACACATGCAGGGTTGTCTATAACACACACACATCTGATCCACAAACATATTCTGATCAGGGTGAATAAAGCATTCATATTAATATAGACCATACTGAATATTCTAGAACAATTGAGCATGTTGAGTGAACACTGAGTTTGTTTAATTTAGTTTAGAGCCACACACACACACACACACACACACACTTACACACACTCACTTATACACTTACACACACTCTTATACACTTAGACACTCACTCACTCACTCACACACACACACACAC